ATTTAATCAGAAACCTGTTGTGACTGAACGGCAACATGTAGCATTAATTACAAGTTTCATTTTAGCCATATTAATCATCATTTAAATGCGATAAGACCATCATACATTGTCTTTGTGTTAATGGAACTTTGATTGAACAAAAATGGGTACACCAAAAACAGCTCTAGTTAATGGCACATGTTATTGTCACCTATATCAGAGATGTCAATTACTTTACGATACAAAAATAACACCATGGGAAATATGCAACTTGCATTGAATAAAGGGCTTGAAGCATAAACCCATTTTATTCAGGGGGTTTTTTTAGTGCTTAAAGTAAACCATAACACTAACCTAGGGATGGAAAACCTTTGTTAAGTAAATAATGGAACTGAGGGCCTAATAAGAATGCAATAATTCCAGTATGAAATTCAAGCTTGACTTCTACCTTGTGCATTTCCCATGTGCACACGTGATTCCTCATTTAGACCTTGCATATCTTAGCTTATGCATTTAATTCCTGGAATGGCCTCTTCTTCTGAAGCTGGGATTGTCTTCTTCCAGTTCTCTGAAACTGGGCAGCTCAATTAGCATATTATGCAATTTGTTTGCTAATTATGCAAATCAAGCAACCACTCCAAATCACCCATTTCAAAGTTGCTTTTCTTCAGGGAAACAGACCATTGGGTTTTTCTTACACACTTTGCACATAATGTGTATTTGAACTCTCCAAAGCTAAATTAAAGCAAAGGTAATTATATTTTGGGATGCGTGTGGCTCTGTGGTCAAAACCACTGAGCCTAGGGCTTGCCGATTGGAAGGTTGGCAGTTCGAATCCCCACGACGGGGTGAGCTCCCGTTGCTCAGTCCCAGCTCCTGCCAACCTAGCAGTTCGAAAGCATGTCAAAGTCCAAGTAGATAAATAGGTGCCACTCTGGTGGGAAGGTAAATGGCGTTTCCGTGTGCTGCTCTGGTTTCACCAGAAGTGGCTGAGTCATGCTGGCCACATGACCCAGAAAAACTGTCTGCGGACAAACACCGGCTCCCTCGGCCAGTAAAGCGAGATGAGTGCCACAACCCAAGAGTTGTTCGCAACTGGACTTAACTGTCAGGGGTCCTTTACCTTTAATTATATTTCGCAAGAAGACTAATTCTACAATCCTGTGCGCACTCTCCTGGAAGTAACCTCTCCGATCAAATGTGGGGGGACATTTGTTGTTGTTGTTGTTTAGTCGTTTAGTCATGTCTGACTCTTCGTGACCCCATGGACCAGAGCACGCCAGGCACTTCTGTCTTCCACTGCCTCCCGCAGTTTGGTCAAACTCATGCTGGTAGCTTCAAGAACACTGTCCAACCATCTCGTCCTCTGTCGTCCCCTTCTCCTTGTGCCCTCCATCTTTCTCAACATCAGGGTCTTTTCCAAGGAGTCTTCTCTTCTCATGAGGTGGCCAAAGTATTGGAGCCTCAGTTCATGATCTGTCCTTCCAGTGAGCACTCAGAGCTGATTTCCTTAAGAATACTTCTGAACAAAAATGCATTGGATAAAATGTTAGTCCAAGACAAAGTAAGTGGAGAAATCTTTGTGTTCCAAGAGTTATTTGTGCACATCAGCATCCTCACAGAACTATGAACCAGATGTCATAACTGTGGTCCATTGTAATAATGAAACAATTTCTCTAGCATAGTTGTTTTCCCACAATATGTTTATTTTCTGCATGGAATTTAACATTTGCTAGATGTCCCACAGATATCAATGAGCTTTGGTCGGAATATGCAGGCTGGAAAATCTGTAGGCAATTATTCACAGGGTTGTTCAGATCCAGTCCAGAATCATGTGTGCATTTTTACATGGACTCGGAATTTCCTTTACAAAAGTTAGGGAGCCTTCTTGCAGGTCCCTGAATCCTTGCTCAATGCAAGACTCTGCTGAAAGAATGGGCAATGGACACTTTGGAGCTCTGGCAACCCTGGATCAAAGCATGCATTCAATCTCTAATAAGGTATTGGAAAATGCTGAGAAAAGACTTGGACAAAACATGATATATCACTGGGAGTTCAACCCCATGCAACTGGAAGAGGATGGTTTCTGGGCCCAGTTGTGGTTGGTGGTTTTTAAATTATAAAGCCCTAAACAAACTAAGAAACTTGAGCTATCACATCCCCCCTTGCCTAAATTCGCTGGATTTAGACATCTTCAAATGCTCAGAGAGTGTGTTAGAAAGCTACATGACCATGTTGCCTAACCCTTCTGCTAATCTGCCCCTGCCAACCACTCGTGCCACAGATATTCAGTGACCACATTCACACTACCCATTTAAAACACTATGATACCACTTTAAAGAGGTATGACTTCCCCCAAAGAATTCTGGGAGCTGTAGTTTGCTGAGAGTTAGCCAATGTCCTTTTCACAAACAGAAGCAGCTGTCCTGTACAGACCAACTGGCCCATCTAGGTCAGCATTGCCTGCACGGACTGGCAGAGGCTGTCCAAGGTTTCAGACAGAGGTCATTCCTGGTGTGGATGCCTGGGATTGACTCTGGGACCTTTTCCGTGCAATATGACACCTCTTTCCCATGAACCACGCTCAACTCTGAGCTGTCTATATTGAAATCTTAAGCTTAGTCATATGGTTAGGCTGATAGGAGATCCCGTCTATAGCAGCTGCCCCAATTTCCTCACCGTCCCACATACTCTGGGCTAGAATTTTAAGAGGAAAGGAAAATAAACCTTCGGGTAAGGTGTTGTTCAGTAAGGTGGGGGCAATTTATCTGAGTGAGAGTGGGCCCACCGGCATGAGAGGGGAAATTGCCACCGCGCCCTCCCTTCCTGGGCTTGGGGAAGAAGGCATCATAGGAACATTTAGGGGACTATCCTAGTCCCCATAGTCCACTGACTGCACACCTCTGTTGGTTCTATAAATATTGCATGTTATTTGGGGGGATGGGCCTTCCCATTCCTGCTTGCCTTTTGTGAAGAACAAAAATCACTGGAAGAGCAAAATTTGTTGAACAGTTTGAGCAAGTTTTCTTCTAGGACATGCTTAATTTTTCCAGCTCTTCTTGCTTTGTTTTGTCCCAGCATTTAGCCACTTGAAACCTTTTCTGGTCAACGGGAGGTAATTGGACAGGAATTGAACCCGTCTCCCCATTATAGATTTTCCACCCTAAATATGACCTAAACTGTTTTTCTGAGGTGCCCACCTGCGTGTTGGTGACAAGCTGTGCTTGAAGTAGCATCATTTAAAGCTCGTTCCGACACTGCACATAAGTACACAGAAGTAGTTTCCCTTCAATCACACTCCATTCATATATTTCTTTGGTGGTACCTTTTCCTCTTTCTGCCATTCTCTCTCCATGTAAACTGCCTCTAGCAGTCCATTTGGAATTTGTTGTGAAATATTTGTGTGGGCCTATTGTCCTACAGCACCTAAATCTACAGTAATTACTCTCCAGACCCTTCTGATTGTTTCCTGTTGCTGTAAGCGCAGAAAAATCAGAGCTGTTCTACTTTGTGCTGGACACAAATATTTCTCTCCCTTTCTGTCATTTCTTAATTACTTGCCTTAACTCTTATGTTTAACAGTATTAATGGAATGGATAGACTTTCCATCACGGCTAATTATAAATGTGACTATGAATAATTGTTTTATGAGTTTGCTGGAATGCTATACATTTACATTTCAGCATTAGAAAGATTATAATTTCCTCCAAAAGCAGAGCTGGGCAAATAGAGTAATTCATAGCAAATAATACAGTTGATTAATGTAGCCTTGCTTCTAATCACAGGTATGCTGAGATGTTGGGTGTGTTTATGCAGAATAAACAATGCTCGGAGTGAGCTGTTAACCAAGATAGGAAATGAAGTGGTAATGGAACAACTACTGTAGCTAAATCTCCAGGGTCTGATGAGCTGCACCCAAGGGTGCTCAAAGAGTTTGCAGATGTAATCTCAGAACCTCTGTCTATAATCTTTGAGAATTCTTGGAGAACAGGTGAGGTTCTTGCAGACGGGAGTTGGGCATATGTTGTCCCCATCATCAAAAGGGAGAGTGGGCAAGACCCAGCTAACTCACAACTGGTTAGCTTGATGTCAGTACCAGGAAAGGTCCTATAACAGATAATTAAACAATTCTCTGGGAGAGAGATCTTACTCCACTGACTTGCATAAGGGAAGGGTTGGTAGCAGGGTAGGATAGAGTATATCCCCGGAGATGTGAACGGGGAAAATGCCATCCTCCCAGCAATGACCCTGTTACTCCAAGGGTGGTTTATGGGGAAGACTTCTGCCCTCTCCCATTTTCTGTGAGATACAACCAGTGCTGGATTTACGTATAAGCTAAACAAGTTATAGCTTAGGGCTCCACTCTCTTGCCCCACCCAATATACTTCCTCTTAATTGTAGTTCACTATTAATATACTTCTTCTTAATTGTATTTCAGTTCAACAATTACTTTGATAAAATACATATTTTGTTATGTGCAAATGGCTTTAGATATTAGGTCCATAAATTACCATATTCAACACAGAAAACAGCGACGATTTGTTGTTGACAAAGGACAGCTGGACATATAAAGGGCCCTATTACCTTCAGTAGCTTAGGGCCTCATCAAACCTAAATCTGGCCCTGGATACAACCTCTTCTCCCTGGGAGAGATTTATGCATTGGCTTTCATAGGGGAGGGAAATATGTGGTATAAGCAAGTCAAGCATTTAATGTAATATGTACTGGTATTTATTTCAGCATCCCTTCTCTGGGATGCCCTAGGAAAATGTCACACTGTGATTAAAAGCTAGACCTGCCCATCAAATGCAAGATGCCTGCCCCATCTCTCCCCACTAGAGCTCAGGGCGTTTCCTTAGTCAGTGTGATTTCACTCTTTAAAGTAAATAAATAAATGCAGTGGCCCAACGTGGGACTTTAAGGAAGTCCTGATCTGACTTGTTAAGAGCATACTTGTAGAATTATAGAGTTGGAAAGGTCCATAAGGGTCATCTAGCCCAACCCCCTGCAATGCAAAAATCTTTTGCCCAACGTAGGGCTTGAACCCATGAGTCTGAGAATAAGAGTCTCATGCTTTACCAACAGAGCTACCGTGAAAACCTCCCCTGAATCACCCCCTATTTGCTGCATAATTTGGGAAGTACACAGAGCAAATGCATGCACCTAGCATTTATTCAAATGTCTATTAGCCCCTCAGCCAGTAGAAGATTCTTTTCTGATTTATCAGACATTTTTCAATGAGAGCTGGAACTCTTTCGGACCGCTACAGTGTGCAGCACACATACCATTCACAGTGTCTGCTCTAACATCTGCTTACCACTTGAGAGACAGACAGATAAAGCATTCCCAACATCTGTTCATAGAGTCATTCATTTATACACATATTTCATCTTTGAAAGGTTCAGGTAAAACGCAAATATTAACGTCTTGGTAGGCCCAAATGCATGCTAGTAACTAGCTTGAGTTACAAAGAGGATGTCTCTGTTTTTGAATTTGCAGTCTGGCTGGCTGAAATCATGTCCTAACCGAAAAAGAAAAAAGTGCTGAATAGACATACGTTCAGGCAGAGGCTAACAGTCTCCCAAGACATTTAGCCCCCTTTTTTTCAGATTAGTCTGAGAGCAAGTTCATCGTTATCATCTGTTTATTTCTATGCCACTTTCCCACAAAATTGTGCCCTAAGTGGTTCATTAGCAAATGAACAATAACTCTAACCATTCAAAACACATATTAGGAAACCATTAGAAATAATCACAGAAAATACAAAAAAAATCAATCCATGTGTAAAACTGCCCAATTGAACCTAATTTAACAACTTGAGCAAAAAAGACAAGAGAACAATGCCAACACCAAGATACAATAGTAGCATGCAAAACATTACTATATTCCAGACAATGCAACTATATGCAGTAGTCTGGATCCCCAAGATTTCAATAGTTCAAACGGAAATTAAAATTTAACTATCTGAATATACCCTATATAACATGACTTAAAAACAAGAGGTTTACTCTTTAGCATACAGCTGTCCTGATCCAATTTGCCTTGAAAGACATTTAAAAAATCATGGATCATCAGATTCTGGAAAATTTAAGATCGATCTCTAATCTCTAATCAATTCCACTAACTGTGGAAATGCAGACTATTAATTTGAAGATTCAGCCTAATAACTAAATTAGGGTCATTATTTTCAAAAGGTCTACTCTGAGTAAAATGCAGTTGAATGCCACACACACTGATGCAGAAATGAATTTAAGACTGGGGGGAAAGAACGAAAGAAAACAGAAGCTGAAACTGACAGATTCACCTATCTCCTAAGTGGGACTGACACTAACGTGATTTGCTCTGTGGAAGGGCGAAGAGCTGAGTAGCTGCTGCTTGGGAATCAGCATTCCATTTGCTTTATTATGTGTACAGTGACTTTTTAAAAAGTTATTTAAGGCTTTGGCTACAGCATCATTCCCAGAAGGCAGTCATTCCAGGAATAATGTTGCAGTGCTGGAAATGCTCTTTCTAAATGTACTATTTCTGGTAAGGTTGTGACAGCCTGGTGTGAGTGTGTCAGGGGCAACATATCTATGAAGAGGTGCCCGTAAGAACGGGGTATTTATAACTCTGCTTACATATCAGGAAAGCGGCGACCAGCTTCTCTTCTGTAATCCTGCACAAAAGGAAATCTTTAAACATCACTGGCGTAAGCAAGGTATAAACAATGTCTGAAGAGATTCTATAAATCTCTGTCATCTTTTCGATGTGACAAACAACCGTTATCAATCTCACGCTAAGTGAGTGTTTAAAATTTCAGGAATCAAAGCAGCTGAGAAATATTATCAATCATCTTAGGAAGAGGCAGCATAGTCCATCAGGCTTAAGATGTTGCAGATCCCATCATGTTCCCATAACCCAATTTCACATGAAATAATCAGAGAGAAGGAAAATAAGTTCTACTGGTCATAAATGTCATATTCATTTCCAAAGCATTTGGGGAAACAGGGGAGGGGGGAGAAATCATATATACACAGTTTCTTTTTTTGGCAGGCTTTTTTCTATTAAAAAGGGGGGGAACCAAAAATACCATCTTATTACTATTCACATGGCAAATGCAAAGTAGACTACACAATCTGATCTGTCTCCAAAGAAAAATCAATCCAATGGCCATGTCATATTCTCTTTTCAAAGTTAAAAAAAATTACTGCTTGGTTGAAAATGATTCATAGCCTATATGTCAGTGGGCTTATTTCTTCTACTTCAGAAAAAAACAAAACCCGAAGCCATTGAAAAAATATTCCTCAAATCAGCTCAGCATAATAATGGTACCAGAAATATACCTCCTTGTATTCGAATCTTGTGTTGCATCGTACATCTTGTCTCCTCCATTCATCTTCCACCAATTCCTGCATGAGTAATTCTTTAAGAAAAGGAGAAGTCAGAATTTCAAAAGCACCATTTCTTGTCAGTTTTTCCGTTGCCACCATGCCTCAAGAGAATCTGTGCTTCAAGATGGATCAGCCTTTGGCCCCAATTGCTCTTGAGTAATATCATGAAGTTATCAACCTGGTTGCTTTCATTAGAAGCTAGTTGCTTTAGTAACTGAATGAGCCACTTGTTGCTTTAACTGGGTATTATCAATGGACACATTAATGTCCCTTACCTACAGATTTAAAGACTCCTTAAAACTCACCCTTCCCATGGATCCTTTGGCACAATCTCTTAGGCACTGTGCCTTTCTGTAACTAAGTAATTGAAATAACATTCATTCTTTACTACTGCCTTTCCTTCTTTTGCTGCCACAGTGTTGAATTAAAGATTATGATCTCTGCAGGGCAGGTATCAAAACACATGGATACAATCACCATCTCTGCCTGACTGCTTTCGACAAAGCCAGGACTGATATGACACAAATGTGGGGAATCATGGAGAGAGAAGCATTATTATTCATAGACCTGGTGCCAGGGGATGACTATAGGGCACTGGCTAAGAACCCTAGGGTCTTGGAAACACCCAAGCAGCCTGATCTAGTTGCACAATCATTTATCATTCTGCCCGCTGGGTCAACAGGTGCTTTTCAACAGTGGACAGCAGTATTGCTTTTGAATGGGAACCAAGTTCCACCACCATTCATGGTGGTTACCCATCAGTTTAATTAAGCTACCCAAAATGTGCCATAGGTATATGAATTCACTGATGCCATAAAGCCTGGGTAGGACTATAGATCCATGGAATAGGCCAGAGCATTGCATTTTGGGTAATATAAAACAGTGAATGACCACCATGAATGGGGTTAAATCTTAGCTCCCATTCAATAGTGTTGTCACCCATCTACCTCTGAATTGTATATAAGGACTCGGTGAAAGACGGTGTGTTTTCATTCCACTTTCTTTCTTTCCAATGATACTGAAAAATCCCCAAACCAGAGGTTTGTTGTCACTGTATTCCTCCTTGAATATTTCACTTTCATAGAGTTACCAGTAGCATGATCCATGACTACCCGCTGTTACCGTTCTATCTCCGGAGAATAGCTCTAGAATTTCATCATTTCGGCATCAGCTGTGTTTTCTGTAACATTGCCTGAGTGTTTGCTGAGACACCAGCTCTAGCGGATGGTGTGCCATGTGCTTTTCCGGCATCAGTGGCACTGTTGGAAGCATCCTCCTAAACACAGCAAGTTCTGCCAATTTCCTACTCTCGCCCCCTGCTCCCATATTACAGTGTTTTCCTTTCCTTTCCTTCCTGTAGCTCTGAATATGCAGATGGAAGCATTTTGAAGTTATTCAATAAATGCCATATGGTGAATTCAGAATCCTTGAGCATGAGCTTGAACAAAGTCACGGCCATAGACTCAGGAGTGGAACATCTGCTTTGTATGCAGAAGGTTTTAGATTCAATCCCTAACATCGCCACCAGATAAGGCTGGGAGAGACCCCAGTCAGAAATCTTGGCTAGGTGTTGCCCCTGACTGTAGACATTACTGAGCCAAATGGACCAATGATCTGACAGTACAGGGGTACCTCAGTTTTCAAATGTAATCCATTCCAGAAGACCATTCAAGTTCTGAAACGTTCAAAAACCAAGGTGCGGTTTCCCGTAGAAAGTAATGCAAAATGGATTACTATCTGGGATCAGCAGATAGTATAGCAGTTTAACATGAATAGCAGTTTAGCATGAATTTTACTATCTAATGATGCCATAGATCCATAAAATGATACACAAAACAATAGACAAAATATACTGTACTGTAAAAGCTCTGGGTTCCACACTGTCACAAAAACAAATTGGTTGCAAGAGATGAGCACAGAGTCACCAAATAAGCCCAAATATCACCTCTGTGTTGTGCAGGTGCTCAGGACTCAACAGCCAGCAGCTAGGCCTCCAGATTTTGGACTCAGTGGAAGCCGTGTGGCATGTTCTATTTCCGAGGTGTGTTCGAAAACCGAAGCATTTACTTCCGGGTTTATGACATTCGTAAACTGAAATGTTCGTTAACGGAGACATTCAAAAACCGAGGTACTGCTGTATAAGGGAGCTTTCTATTTTAAAACTGCAGCAATTCCTCAAAGAGAATGAATTCAGTTCAAGGACTTAGGGAACACATGTGTGTACTCGGAAGGTTGTGTTAACAGGTGCCAACAAGGTAATTGTTCACTTGCTCCTATTTTTCAGGTCCCATTTTCAATAGTATTCCACATGTTTTGATGGAGGTTTGATTGATTATAACTTACCAGTTTGGGCATAAGTACTTTCTTGTCATTTTGTTCATCTAAGGTTAAAAACAGAATCACTTCTACTGTAAATAAGTACTTCTGTTATCAGCTGGCCGGGCAGTTTAAAAACCACTGCACTTGGCAAAGCTTTGTCTGGAGTAATAGTCCTTTTCCCTCCACTTGCTTATATACACCCCAAACTGCAAGCTCATAATAGACCTTTTTGTCAGTAGCAATTCCACAGCTAAATAATCTATTTCCTTGAGAAGCTCTTTCCTACATTCCCTCACAAGCTACAAATGATATACCGCATTATCCTTGAAATAAAAGGATTGAACCGATTGAACATAAAGGTGATACAGACAAAAAAAAAAGACCTCTGACCATGCTTGTCTAGGT